ATCGAGAGGTGAGCGAACCCGGTATGTGTTCACTCACCTCCCGATCTACTGAGCCGACCTGTGACAGTCTCATTGTCACAGGTCGGCTAGAACTATGAGGTGAGTGGAAATCACTCATCTCATAGTTCTCCTTTAAATCTTAAAACTGGATTCAAGCACATTAACTATTAACACAAATGTAACTTTTTTGTGTATCACTCAGCTATATATTTTCAAATGATCTCAGAACTGCCCTTCCTTCTGGAGGGTGGCTACTTTTGTTGCCCATGGTCCCTGTGTGTGTTGTAAAGTAGTCACTGCTCAAAGCTCACTCCTGTGATGGACTACAATTAGTTTACTAATTTGTATTGAGATTGTATTGAGATTGTAGTCCATCACAGGAGGGAGATTGGAGCGGTTGCCACTTTACAACACACACAGGTACCATGGGGAACAAAAGTAGCCACCCTCCAGAAGGAAGGACAGTATTGGCATGAATTCAGAGATGATTTGAGGATCTACAGCCGAGTGATACACAAATAAGATACACTTTTGTTAATAGTTAAGGTGCTTGAATACATTTTATAGATGTAAATCCCAAGTTTAGTGTCACTTTAAAGCCCATCTGCCACGCTCCCGCATATATGTGTTGTGCCGCTGCTGTCACTTTAAGCTTACCCTGTTAATATACAGTAGATAGATTAGACTGTCATTCAGGTGCAAAATGAGAAAATAAATGATGCACTTACCACCTATCATGTCTAGTTTTCTAAATACTAAATGTAATTAAAACATTGCACATATCTCAGTATTTTGTAGATTTTTTTCTCAATCTTAGCACATGCTTTAAAATAGAAAAAAAAAAGTGACAAGGTTCCTTCAAAGACCAAAAAACATATGGGTTTACTGTTAAATCAATTTATATATCTCAGCGAAGGTTTGAGAATCAAAAAGGACTTCATATGTTGTCTGTTTACATTTAGACGGTTGAAACCGATTATCTCATCTCATGCTGTACTTTGCATTGTTTTGCACAATCTTGATAAATGTCTGCCAAACTGAGTGATATTTGTAATGCTCGCTTTTATGTGTGCTCTCCTCTCGTTTGTTTTGTCTCCATCCCTCTTAATGCTGAAGACAGAAAAGACTGTTAATTTCCTGTCAAAGAAAATAATTGTTGGACAAATATTTCTGTAGAACATTCTGTGCATGGCATCCTGTTCACAAATCTTACATAATTCTCATCAGACATGATCATGGCTTTACATGAGAATATGGATTAGAGTAAGATGAAGATGTGTTTATTATTCATTCAGCCTATTAAGAACAAAATATCATCCTCATGATATAACCTCATCAAATAGTTTACACTTACTGCTCCAGTCATTCTAGTACAGTGTCTGTGAAGGTTCTCATTCATCCAGGTCATGGATCAAAACAGAAGGGTTTTTAAAAAAACATCACATGCCTGTCTGCTTTAAAACCCAGCAATACACTGAGGCAACAACTGGCACACACAAAACACAAGATGAACAACATTGTGTATGCAGTTCAGTGCAGTGAGGAGTGCTCAGAATTGTATGTCAGTGAAACAAAACAGCAGCTACACCAGCGTATGGCACAGCATAGAAGAGCCAAACCCTCTGGTCAGGATTCGGCAGTATACCTACATCTAAAGGTCACTCCTTTGAAGACAGTCAAGTACGCATCCTAGACAGGGGGGGAGGACTGGTTTAAAAGAGGTGTGAAAGAGTCCATTTATGTAAAATGGATAAGCCAAGTTTGAATAGAGATGGGGGGTGGGGGGTATATCTATTGTCTGCCACATACAATGCTGTTTTAACACCTCTCTCTGGTCAAGTTATTAACACCTCCTAGCTTCAATTATGCAAATTAACACCTGGTTGTGACTAACAGATTATGTGGATTGGGATCGGAGCAACATTCACCATATTTATTCCCAGATAATTCTTGTACAAGTCATTCTGAATTGAGAAAGCTGGTTGGATGACTAGTGAAACGTCTTCAAGAAAAATACAGCAAGTCCAGTTGCCTTGACTTATTTTTTACAGATATTTTAGTACAGTGTTCTAACTTTTTAGACTAGCACTAGTAGATCTAAAACCTACTGGGTGACATTGCTTTACGTTTAGTGCTAAAGCACTGTGTGTCATAGACCTTTGTCATTTTATTTCATCCTTTTTTGCATGTTAGTGCTGTTGATTTGCCTGATCAGCAACTTCCTGTCTATAAGCACTCATTTTACTGTCGACTTCACTTCGTTGCTCTGGAACGACTTCCTGATTGTGACAATGGTGGTAAATGGCATTCTAATGTGTGTCAGCACAGCCGATTACACAAGGGTGCATGTGATAGGGTGACAATGCAGGAGCACAGTTAAAAGTCAGTTATCCCACTGTGGCAGGAAGTGCCTGAACAAGGACTTCCATTTCAGGAATGCTGGGTATTCTTTTAATACCCAGCAATACAATTTTCTGAAGCAAATTAGTTTTTTTTGTAAAACTGTTGTAAAGTTTCTTTCCTGGACTGCATCTCCTTTTGCAGGCTGACAGTACTAAGCCACTGCCTTGCAATTAGCAGCAGCGTTGTCAGCCTGTTTTGTGATCTCCTTTATTTGGCTATTAGGTCTGGGGGAGTAGGCAACCCAATGGCTAAATGAAGGCGCTTGCATGAAGAAGCTCCAATAAATGAAAACTTTACCAATGAGAGTGAAACGCCCTCCTAATGGGCGGCTGTAACAGATCTGAATTAATGAGAACTTGAATATGGAAAATCTAAAAGATCTATTAGAAACAGTCAGCTTTTTTTTTTTTTTTAAAGTGGCTCTGACTCCTCTAAAATAATTGTATAAAAAGTTTGCTACGATAAAAGAATGTTTATACCCAGTTGTTCCACAGACTGTTCCTGAAATCTGTGTTTCGTTGAAGAGCTAAGGCTGCCTGAAGAATATTCACATGGGGCTGCGACTGGGGATTCCTGCGGCAAGAACCTACAGACTCTTGCGGCAGGAATCCCAGGTGGGTTGCTATAGACGAAGCTGCTGTGCCCATTCAGGTGAATGACAGGCTAACGGCAAACGCATCTGTCAACGTTATTCCGCATTCAATCGTACATGGACGATTACCTGCGTTTCGGGATAGATAATTGTCATTGACAATCATCTATCCCAAACTGCAGGTAATCAATCCATGTACAGGTATGATTACATGCGAACATCTACTGACAGATGCACAGACAGACCTGGGATTCCTGCCCCAATAATCCCAAGCCGCAGCCTTAAGCCCCGTGCGAATGTAGACTTAGGTGTGTTGGATGCATGGTCACTCATGGCACACAATGGTTCAATTTCCAAGGTCAATACAGTACATAGCAGTGATGTAAAGGCCAGAGGATGGTACCCAAGTTCCTAGTGGGGGTCGCAGACATTCAACACTCCCAGAAGTATAGGATGTGAACATTCTTTAGGTGGCCGCAGGTCTGGAACAGAACAAAGATTCCAGAGGCTTGCATTGAAACAGGTGAATATAAACATTCTTCTATTACAGGGAACGTATTGTTTTAAATCTACAGCATCTACAAAAATTGGAATTTTAGTTTTGTATGTGAAAACAGAACGTCGTCTTGTAATTAAGCACTTGTCAGTTTTCAGTCCAATTATTTTTTTCTAAAAGTTTCCAAAATGGTAACACAGCTGAAATACATCACATCCTTACACTCGTATAAATGTCGGCAGCTCAGTCTGAAATACGGATTCCTGTCATTTAGCACTTTTGTATTTAACCAATTTCGCTATGTGTCAGCAAAATTTGCAAATGTTGTGCCTGACAAATATTCTAGTGTGTTTCCATCTTGCAAATACTCCAGCACACACTTGGCATGTTCTCGAATTCTTCCAATGAACATTTCTAAATTCAATCTTGTTTCTTTAGGCAGTTGCAGATCATTATTTAATGCTGAATTTCTCAGAGCGGCAAACTACGGCTGATGATTGCAAACTGAATCTTTAGGAGTATATTGCCACAGTCACATTTTATAAATATGTATACCATGTATAGAGAGTCTAGGTTATTGATTTCTGTTTCCTTTCTACATTTATATTGTGCAGAAGGCTAACATTACTTATTTATCTTTGCAGAATTAAGTTTAGCTGCTTTCAAACGCAACAAAAGAAAACTGGAGCTGGCAGAAAAGGTGGAAACCGATTTTATACAGATTAAAAAGAGAAGACAATCAAGTGAAAAGGTTAGCATGAAAATGTACAAATGCAGACATCACCTATTGAATACATTTTGCTTTCCTTGATAACTCCAGTTTATTAAAGTTTATCTAAAACCAAAAACATAAATGTGATAAATTGCTATTTACCAGTCCTTAAATATGCTGAATATATATTTTTCAGTCTTTTTTTACTTTTAAATATACCTGGTAGGGCTAGCTCACACCAGATGCAGTTGTGTTGCAGTCTGTTCAGCTTAGCAGCTGCATTAAAATTGTGTCACAATGCTTTCCAATGGGATTTCTGGTGCTCTGTTTATACCAGTGAAGTCCATTTCAATGCAGTCAGAAAAAGTATTGCTTGCCCTATTTTAGCTGCACATGATTGCATGTGTTTTTGCTGCGTTCCATTGCAAATGCACGTGACTGCACCTGAAAGCCCATTTTAAGCTAAAATAACGAAAAAAAAACAAAACATGGATCAATCGCAGTAAAATTTCACTGCAGCTGCGCAGACGCTCGCAGTTCTGGTGTGAACTAGCTCGTAATCCAGCAACTAACACACTTCCGGTCCCTGGGTCACTGTGCTCATTCCTCCACTGCATTTATGAAAGGAGCCGTGGTTGCCCTCCATGCTGAATGGTCTTGAAACGTCGCTAAGGATATGTGTGTTATCTCAGTCAATAAACAGCATTGACTTTAATGTCATGGAGTGCGAGTGACTACTTTCATCTGTAATCATTTAACATGACTGTCAGTCATGCACAATGCAGCGCACAGGAACCGCTTCCAGTGCATTTCGCACCGGTTCACACCATAAACAGTGCGTTCCAGAGCAGTCAGCCTGTGGAATGCACTGTATCGCATTACGGCCAGCTTCGTGCATTCACCGGCGGGAGGGGGCGTGCACTATTTTTGCAGAGGGCACTGATGTGCCATGTGTTCTCATGCAGGCGATCAAACTGCGGGCGGGGCTGTGGCTGCAGTGACATTGACTTCAAAGCACTGCCACGCCCCCTCCTGCCCCTGAATGCAAAAAGTCGTCCGAAATGCGATGAACTGCATATTTAATTTTTTTAAATTATTTTGCTTTACATTCACTTTGAAGTGAAATTTTTGCTGTCTTCAGAGTGGGGAAAGCAGAAACTGACTTTAAAGAATAACTCTACTTTTTAAACCATATTCAGGGTTTAACATAAAACACGGTCCCATAACCCAGCCCTCCATGCCCAATCCGTAGCCCCAGTTACCTGAATCGCATGGTTCTTCTCTTCGCAGGCTTCTGTAAGTTTTAGAAATCGGCACGTGCAATGCTTCTTCCTCACAGCCACGTCATCTATTCACAGTATCTGTTAATGGAGAGATTACAAGTCCCTGTCAATCACTACAGTAGGGGGACTCATGGTTCTCAATGCAGTGACATCACCACGCATGTAGTCCATTCATACTTCCTCACGTCCCATAGCTGAAAGTCCATACCGTAGTATAAACAGGAACTAGGCGGAAGCATCTGAAGGAGCCTGAGCAGTTGCAGTGCTTTGCAGGCTTACATGCAAATTTTTCTGATGAGACCGCAGTGTTCAGATTATTAGGTTATTTGGCACCAACATTTTTGATAACACTGTACAAATATATTGTTCTATTGCCCACAATTTGTCGCACAAAAATAGTACTGATAAGTAGTACTGACATTCAGCTACTGTGGTTCAGTTACACCCAGAGTCCTCTGTTGCAGGAAAAACAACCAAGTCCCTTATCTTGCAATGTAGCCTAACCATTTTCTTTTTACTTTTTACCTTGGCGTACACAAAATGTGATGTACAACCTCATCTGCCAGTAGGAAGAAGGACCAAACCATGCTGCGATCATTAAGAGGTGTAGTCACTGTTTGTGTAATGGAGCACCCTGTGGGAACCAAGATACTATATAAATGAAATTGTGCTAGCAGGCAAGGGCAAGTGTCTATTATCATCTTGCTGCCAGAGTACTACATATAAAAAGCCTATAGGTGTGCTCTAATCACTGAGAACTGTCATCCTGTTGCTCGGCCAAATTTCAGAAGCAGGTGAACTGCATACCATCTGATCTGGGTGATCTTTTTTTGTGTTAAACATTTTGTTTTAAAGTACATACTTCAAAAATTGTTTCCAACTCAGTCATGTATTTCAAAATAGCAAAATGTTGTTCAGGAACAAAGCCGAGTTCTCTTTTTCCATTTTGATTTGTGGTAAACATCAATAGCAGATCACTTATCTCACTTAAGATGTTTTTGGCAACAAGTTGTATGATGTCTTACAGATCCATCTGCCAGAAAAACAAGTCAAATCCATTTAAAGAGCCTCTAAACCCTCAAACCTGTTTTCAGATTCGGTATGAATAAAACATACTTTTTAAATTGTAAAATACAAACACCAACCCCCCCACTTCTCCTAAGTGTTTGAGACTTTCTTGCACTGATTTGTAATTGGGTCTGCAGCAACTAATCAATTTAATTGATTATAATCGTTAATGAGAATCTTTGTTAACGATTCTCATTATCGATCTGTGAATTGTTCGATTATTTGCAGCCGCCCCCGTCCTCTGTTCTCGTTACCGCTGGTACTGGCTGCAGTGGTCTGTGTCCCTTTCAATCCTCGCCTGTGTCGGTAGAGGCAGTGGGGACACAGACCACAGCAGCCCGCACCAGCGGGGAGAAGAAATTCTCTATATCCTCGCTGCCCCCCCTCGTACCTCCACTGGTGCCCCCCTCGTACCTCCACTGGTGCCTCATTTCCTCCTCCGCTGCCCCCCCTTTTCCTTTCTTTGCTCCGCCGTGCCCCCTCTTCTGACGGTGTTCTATGAATTCTCCTTCAGTTCCCTCCTCTGCTGATTGACAGCAGGCTATGGGCGGATGCAATAGCCAGTCTGCTATTTGGGTATTGTCATTTAAAATAGCCAATAGGAGGCTGGCTATTGCTCCCAGCCACTGCCTGCTGTATTTACATTCAGCTGCCTCCGCAGGGAGCTTTCATTTCCCAGTGAAGCGGAAAGGCGACATTAGAGGTTTAACCCCTTCATGACTGAGGCCTTTTTTTCATTTTTTGTACCCAAGGTTAAATAAAATTAAAAATACACTTAAAAAAGTTTCCCCGGAAATGCAGGTCGGGTGCACCTACATATGAAAATGACGATTGCGCTACGTCAGATATCGCCGCGTCCGCCGGAGTGAGAGCAATATTTTCCGGCCAATGTTCATGACTAACTCTAAACTGATGACCGGGCTTTTATTTATTTTAAATACAAATTTTGCTATTATATTGGAGATTTACAATCATATTATTTTAAATCCATGAAACTAATTTAAATGTCTAATATAAAACATACAATTATTTAAAAGAATATAAAAGAAAAGGTGGGAAAAGTAATTTTTGGTTTCGACTTGACAATTTCTGCTGCAGTATGTGTGTTGTGGTGCCATTCAAATCAACGACGCCGCAGACACGCCTGCCGCCCGCAGTGTGATCGCCAGCACTCGAAATGCACGGTACTGCAATGTTGTGCATTCCAGTGTCTTGCAATGCAAAAAATGTGCATGTAGTTTTGTTCTGAAGTAAACTTTGCTTGTATCACTGCATTTGTGTATTTCATTTGAAATAAAAGATGGTATTTCATTTTTTTTTCTTTAACCGATAAATCTAAAAAAATAGTCAGCCAACTAATTGATTATGAAAATAATCGTTAGTTGCAGTCACATTTGTAAAATTTAGGACTAAAAGGCCTAAGATTTTCAGCCTGTGGATTGGGTCTCTAAATTAATTTTGTAAATCACTGTCATTGGAGTGCTGTGTGTTTCAGAAGGCAGTCAGAGTTGAGTGGTCAACAGCTTGGTGGCAACAGCTTCATGTTTTTGTTTCTAGTAATGGGATTATGTAAAAGAACGCAGAGGCAGGAACTGTTGGGGGTTAGCAGGGGTATATACACTTCTGCAGAATAGTGATTGCACAATATGTTTAATAAGAAGTGGATATATACGGTGAATATAATACATCCTCTGAGCTACCTGGTTTGGCCACTGCGGTGTTTTACTTATATTTAGGATAGTCATGGCAGTGCTATGACTCTTCTCCTGAAAACTGTAGATAGATCTGGTTTTTATTGTGCCGTATTAGAAAATATATATTATGTGTTCAGAGACAACATGCTACTTTATTATTTTTAATATTTATTCATGTGATGGTGACAAATACTGCAGCATTCAAAGTACGTAACACTGTTCTAATCCTTCAACTGTATGTAATCAATAGAATTTATAACAGAATGTTGTAATCTTCCAAATGCATCTATCTGTAACTGTTTATTTTGAAAAATCTCCTCTCAATAAAGAATTGTGAAAAGGAACATTCCTATCAGTTCCTGCCCCCTATTGCATGCACACACACTGTGGCCAGTTTGGATGAAAACTGATTAACCTCTTAGTGTGTTTTAGGTTTCTGGGAAGAAAGAACTGCAAATGTGAGGATACCTAAAAACTCTTTGCAGGTTATGTCCCTAAATATGATTTAACTTAAGACCTCAGTGCCGCCTCCTACTCCGCTTCCTAGCCCTTCTTTGCTAATTTCTAAATATACCATTCTTCCTGTTGTGTTCCAATTAGAAATTATGGGGTCTTCGTTGCCATGATAGAGAAGTGAGGTTCCAGCACAACCTTTGTCTGAACTCCAGCCTGCTGCCCCCCTCTAATCAATTGCTGAGTTAAAATCCCCATTTACTTAATCCATGGTTGCATGATGTCCTGGATTCTGAGTCTTCTATTTTCTTGGCTGCCAAGGAGTCCTTCTTCAGGTTCTCAAATCACTGTCTGGGTCCCCTTGGCTGTCCAGCAGCAAGGAACTCTCAGTTCCTGAAGACTGTTGCGATGAAATAAGGTCACAAGAAAGATGGTAACAAGACTGGTTGTCCTTTGGGCTCCAGGGCTGGATTACCAGTCGTCGCTTACAGGAGAAATGCAGCCAAAGTGACATAGGTAAGTAAAGGGCTGTTTTGTTTTT